GAGCTGAGGGAGGGACATGTTGCAGCTTCTGGGGAACCCCCTCAAGCTAAGGGCTGCTCAGAGCCCTCACCCCCTCCTGTGCCCCAACCCCCAGCCCTGAACCCCCTCCCCCCTCACAAACTCTTGCTGCTGCTGGGTGGGGGGAGGGTGGTGGCCTGGGACTGCCCCACCGGTGGCCTGGGACTGCCCCACCAGTGGACAGTGGGGCTGGCCCAGAGGCTGCCCGAGACGCACTGGCCCCTGCAGAAGTCACAGAGGTCCTGGAAAGTCACGGAATCTGTGACCTCCATAACAAACTTGAAGCCTTACTCATATCTTTTAGAAAAACTACAATCTTGAATTAAAAGTTGCCAGTGCTGGAGAATCAGCCATAACTTTTGGTACATTGTTCCAGTGCTTAAATGTCCTCACTCTTGCACTTTATTTCCAGTCTGAATTTGTCTAGCTTCAACTTCCAGTCCTTGGATCATGTTATACCTTTCTCTGATAGATTGAAGAATCCATTATCAAATATTTTTCTCCCTGTAGGTACTTTGTGATCAAGTCACCCCTTAACCTTCTCTTTTTTAAACTAAATAGATTGAGCTCCTTGACTCTGTCATTATAAGGCAGTGGTTTTCAAACTGGGGTACATGTCAGGGGGTACATGAAAAAAATCCCGCAATGGTGAACAACTCACTCTATTTAGTAAGACTTGGCAATCTAATCATAGGTATATTATGACTCTCTCAGATTGGAGTATGCAGTAGGACTACATTATTTGGAAAGTGGTATACAGCCTAAAAAGTTTGAAAACCTCTGCTGTAAAGCATATTTTCAACTCCTATAATTATTCTCAGGGTTCTCTGAACCTTATTCTATTTATCAGCATGCTTTTTGAATTGGAGACACCAGTACTGGACAGTGTTCAGCCGCAGTTACACCAGTGCCAAATGCAGAGACTTGAGATTCCCTTGTTATACATCCAAGGATTGTATTTGCCTTGCTGGCCCCAGTGTTGTACTGGGAGTTCGTGTCCAGCTGATTATCCACTATGACACCAAAATCTTGGTCACTGTTTATTAAAACACATATTGTTTATTTGTGCCCATCTTACCAAGCAATCCAGATCCCTCTGTATCAGTGACCTGTTTTCTTCATTATTTACCAATCTGAATTTTTGTGTCATCTGTAAACTTTATAATTGATTTATGTTTTCTTCCAGTTCATTGATAAAAATGTTAAAATAGTGTAGGACCAAGAACTAATCCCTGAGGACCACAAGAGAAACACCCTCTCAAAGATGATTTCCCATTTACAATGACATTTTGAGACTTATCAGTTAATTAACTTTTAATTCATGTAATGTGTGCTGTGTTAATTTTATATCATTCTAGTTTTTTAATCAAAATGTCATTCAGTACCAAGTCAAATGTCTTACAAGAAGTCTAAGTATTAGGTCAATGCTATTACCTTTATTGACCAAACTTGTAATCTCATAAAAAATCAAGTTAGTTTGAAAGGCTCTATTTTCCATAAACCCATACTGATTGGCATTAATTATATTATCCTCCTTTAATTTTTGATTAAATAAGTCCCATATCAGCTGCTCCGATATTTTGCCCAGGATTGATGTCAGACTGACAGGCCTATAATTACCGAACTCATCCCATTTAGACTTTTAAAACATTGGTACAACATTAGCTTTCCTCCAGTCTTCTGGAACTTCTCAACTGTTCCAAGACTTATTGAAAATCAATATTAACAATGTTCTTCATTAACATTAACAATCCGTGCTTCTCAACCAGCTGTTTTAAAACTCTTGCATACAAATTATCCGGACCTGCTGATTTATAAATTTCTAATTTTAGTAGTTGCTCTTTAACATCCTTCTGAGATACTAGTGGAATGGAAAGAACATGTTCATATGATACGACTACATCATATTTTCCACCAGAGCAGAAATATTTATTGAACACTTCTACCTTTTCTGCATTATTATTATTGATAATTCTACCATTTGCATCTTGTAATGGACCAGTACTATTGTTAGGATTCTTTGTTCATAATGTACATTTTAAAAATTCCTTATTGTCCTTAACTCGGCTGGTGATAGATTTCTCTTTGTGTCCCTTTTGTGTCTCTTACCAATTTTATAGAATTCCTAGCTTCAGTTTTATATTAATTACTATTGACTTCCCCTTTCTTCCATTTGTTATATACTACTATTTATAGCTGCCTTCACTTCTCCTCTAAACCAGGTCAATTTTTTAACCAGCACAGCTTTCTTTCTCAATTGTAGGATAGTGGCTTTCTGGCCATCTAGTAAAGTATTCTCAAACAATTCCCAATCATTCACATTTTTCTGATTAATTTCTTCCATCCAGCTGATTTGGCTCATAATTATTTTCAGTTTTGTGAAATTGGTCATTTTAAAGCACCAAGTACATACATTACTGCTTTGGACTTTATTCTGTTTGTGCATTGTAAATGTGATCAAGTCATGATCAGTTGTACTTAATCCACCATTGATTTTTCATTCTGTGATCAGTTTCTCTTTATTTCTCAAGATGAGATCTAAATTAGAATTTCCCAATGTGGGATGCAATGCTTTTTGAGTTAGGAAATTGTTGTCTATAGTAAGAAATTCTGAGGATGTTTTAGGAGTGGGAGTATGAAACTTCCAGCACTGTTACTCAAATCAAAGTCACTTATGATCACATAGCTTGTTTTCCTAAACATTATAGATAGGGGACTAGAGCCCTTTAAGAACCTAGTGTGATTTGGTGGTCTGTAACAGACACTAACTAATACCCCATCTTGTACATTCTGTTAGGGCATTGATCTGTAAGCATTCAAGATCATTTTCTTCCGAGTTGTCAGCGACTCAGAAAGAGGTAATGCCATTTTTGACATTTTGTCCAGTTGATCCTTCATAACTAGGTTATAACCATTGATTTTAATAGTCCAACCATGTGAATCATCCCACCAGGTTTCAGTAAAATCAACTGGATCAAATATGTGCTCATAAAGCAATGCCAACTCCTCTTGATTGTTAACTAGGTTCCCTAGCATTGGTGTATAGGCAATTAAAGAATTTCTTCTTTTTTTGTCCTTTGATTAATTTTGTTTTCTTAACATCTTGATTTTGTGCTAAATGAGTGCTCATGTTTTCCCCTTTTTACTCTTCCCTTTTATTATCCCTCCTGAATATACTAGCCAGCCTTCCCCTGAGGAGGTTGGTTCTCCTTCAGTGAGATGGATGCCATCCAAACTGTACAGCTCCCTTTCCTCATAGAAGATGGACCAATGTTATACAGAACCCAAATCTTCCACGTTCTTCCACTTACCTAGCCAGCAGTTCACTTTCAGAAACTTCTGTGTTCCTTTGCTTGTGGAACAGGAAAGATCTCTGAGAAGATTGCTTGGATATTCTCCTTTAGCATGCTTCTGAGTTCCCTGAAGTTCTCTCTTATCTGTGAGCTATCCCATGACACAGCATCATTAGCACCACTATGAACTCTCCCCATTGGATCCTTGTCCATTGACTTCAGAAGCTTATCCAGTCAAGACTGACATCTCATGTCTTGGCTCCAGGAAGACAGAATACTGTCCCGTTGTCTGCCTGTCTTTGCAGAATATGATTTTGATTCTTCTGAGTACTAAATGCCCACCAAGGATCATCTGTCTCCTGGGGCAGTTGGAGATCTCTTTTTGTGCCTGCTTGATTTTCTTACAGTTTGGGCTGAGCTGCTATCCACAGGAGTGACCCAAACATCTCTCCAGTCTCTCAGGCCAGTTGGATTTTGATAGAGAGCTTCCACAGTTTCCATACTGAGAACCTGGCATTGATTGGAAATTTCTAGCTCTGTGGAATTCCTCCTGGCTCTCTTTTCTCTGGTGACCACAGCCTGCCCATCCTTGTCTGTTTCCAGTCATGTAGAATGCTGCCGTGACCGCTTGCCTCTGGTGGTTATACATTGCCAAGCCTCTTCTCTGACTTACTCTCTCTCTCTCTCTCTCTCTCTGACTTTTTGGTGGCCGTCCTTGAACCTGGGGTACTGGTGTTTCTCAAACCTGGCTGTCTAGGAACTCCTCAGCTTCTCTGATTCTCTATAGCGCTTCCACTTGACCTTCCAATCCAAGAATCTTTTCTTCCAGTGCAGCCACCAAATTGCACTTCATGCATAGGAAGTCCCTTCTGGCTTCAGGCAGGAAAGAAAACATGGGACATCTGTTGCAGGCTTATTGCTGGTCACCTTGAAATTGCACGTAAAGCTGAACCTGGAAGGAAAGCATCTCACATTTGCTCTCCAAATTACCTACTTTACACTGGACAGTACAAATGGCAAATAAAAGATTTGTACATCAAATGGATCCCTTTTTTATATATGGTACAGCATACAGAGCCTTCATTAAATATTTTTTCAGTGGCATAGATCCCTCTAGCAATCAGATCTGTTACCCTGGACTGTTTGTCTTCCATTAGGGCAAGGATCAAGACTCCTGTTTCCTTTATATGTGCTGCTGTAAATTGTTTGCTGGCAGGGGGATATATTTTTCTAATATCTGCATGTGGATCATTTGAGGCAAGTTGCCATAGGTGTTTTTGTTAATGGTTTTCACCTTTAGTCTAACAATGTGGGATGACAGTAGTGGTTCTCAACCTAATTAGCATTGTGGGCCCCATATGCAGAATGTGTTATGTTTGCCACATCTACAGAATATATATACTATCTGTATGGCCCTGAGGATGTCACATGGGCTGCAGGTGTGTGCTGATTGGCCCGCAAGTGGCCCGCGGGTCAGAGATTGAGAACCACTGAATTAGAGTTTGCTCCTGTTAGGATGATTTTTATCATTCTTTTTAATAATTGACTCTTTATGTAGCTGTTTTTAGAAACTTTGATCTAGTTACCCAAAAAATAATAATATTCCAGAATGGCTGTTGAATGAAGGCAATGTAGAATATAAATAATTCTAGGGGTGAAGATTGGGTATATCAGAATTCCATACTTTTATTTAAATACATACAAGCTAGTCTGTTTTTTAATCTGCTTTTATTTTTCTTTAAATATAAATAGATGTTAAATACTCTCTCACACATTTTCAAAGCACAAATTACTCTTTTCATTTTACATACAACATACAGCCATCTCAAGTGAATTTTTTTTCCTGAATATTAAATGAAATCAGCTTGTATTGTAAACAGTGGTAATAAATACTGGTTGTGGTAGTAAATATTGAAATAAACTAGACCGTTTAAATTATCTCTAAATCCTGGGGAAATAAATAGGCAATATTTTTTTAAAAATAAATATTTTAAAAAACAATAAATACATTTGTAAAAGGAAATCTTAATAAAATATAAACTATTCTGATTACTTCTGGTTCTTAAAATAGAACAACATTGTCATCTGCCACATGACAGATTTTGTGATGAAGGAATGTGCCTGAATTAAAACATTCAAACACTGAGATTCCTGGAGTTTTTCAGATATCGAACAGCCCTCACAGTTTTCTCCATGAATGAAGTAAAGTCCCGGAGGATGAGATGGGTGCTGATTTTCTCTATCCATTTTTTATTTGACTTCAGTTTTGCAAAAAGTGTGCTCTGGGTAGCTGGGTCTGGCATGATCACTGCATCAGGATTTTTCACCTATGACAAAGAAAATGAAAATACATTGATTATAATACTATAAAATGTTCTTGATGGAAAGGATCTGCCTTTATGCATGTGAAAAATGCAAAAGATGCTTACAAGAAAGCACATGCTTTTCTTTGCTGTACTATTGGGTCAGCAGATAGTCTGACGGGGCTATATAACTTTATTTATCCCCACTGTAATCTATGGTACTTGAGTTTCATTTGTAGCTGGTACTACTTGTGCTAGGGAATCTTTTTTGGAATCTGACTATATGGCCTTATCTATACCACAAAATAAAATGGTGTTTGAACATAATTGTAAACCATTGAGTTAGACACGTGATGCTAAATTGTCCAGGACAATCAATATATCCACCAACTGTGTGGCTAGCTGACAAGATTTGTCCTGATCTATACTGACCACTAAGCCTCATGCCATCTAACTTTGTTGTTCGCAGTCATGTTCAAATGCAGTCAAATTCTGTAGTAGAGATAGGGTAAAATTTTCAAAAGTGCCTAAGGGGTATGTCTACACTCGAGATTTTACAGTGGAGCAGCTGCAAGCTGTGTGTGTAGCTGCACTAAGCCCATGGGAGAGAGTTCTCCTGTCAGCTTAACTATTCCAGCACCCGTGAGTGGCAGGAGCTATGTCAGCTGGAGAATCTCTTCCACTGACAAAGTGCTGTCCACACCGGCACTTATGTCGGTGTAACTTATGTCACTTGGGAATGTTTACTCACACATCAGAGGGACATTAATTATGCCAGCATAAGCTGTAGTGTAGACATAGCTTGAGTCCTGTTTTCAAAAGTACTGAGACACTTAACAGCCTAAGTCCTATTGACTTTCAATGAGACTGAAGCTCTTAAGTGCCTAAGGCACTTCTGAAAATGGGACTCAGGTGCTTTTGAAATTTTTACCTGAGTTCTAGGTGGTTCATAAAGTACAAATCCTTGCAGCCTTCTCTCAGGATCCAGGCTACCATCTAAGAAATGCTGAAAGCAGTGTACTGTAAGCTGGAACATCTCTTTTTAAATTTTAATTGAATTGTGTAAAAAATGCATGTCCTTTTCATTAAAATAACTTGAAGGGGTGGATTCTGAGCACACACCTCTGTGGGTGCATCTCTGATTCCTTGCTGCATACTGCAGAGTTCTGTGTGGAGGATCTCCGCAGAACCACAAAGGAATATGGGCATGCTGACATGGCAATGGTTCTATGGATCTACTTGACCACAAACTAACAACAGGTGAGCAATAGTACTGCCCATACTCCCCATACTCAGTAGCAGCTAGGGCAGTTTGGCTGTATGGGTGGCCCAGGTCCCACTTCCTAATTGGGAAGGAAGACTCTATTTCTACTCCCCAGGATCTCTCATTGTTCCTACAGGCACAGGTTTTACTTGTGAGCTTTTTATTAGGCATTATGTTTAGTTCCAGCCAGTTCAATCAGTTTCTCACTTTCATGAAGGCTAAAGTCTCACTGAGTTCATCCAGTTATAGAGCAACACAGACAATTGCCACAAATCAATGTTTGCAATATATACAGGTGAAATCAATGGTCCATTATCTTTTCACAACAGGACTATTATTCTAGGTTATCACTGTGTGGAAAAAGTTCAGCTCCCATTCATCTAAAAATGATGAAAATAAATATAATACAAAATGTATTTTATATATACAAATGGCTTTTCGAGGCATTGTAAAACACCTTGTAGGAAATAATGGCCTATAGTTTCCATAATTCTTGATCCTGCACCCTCACTCACCTAAGTAGTGCTTCACCCGGTAGTTCCACTGACTACAAAGAATCTATTCACATGAAGAGCTATTAGTGCAAGTAAGAATTGCAGGAATGGAGTGAATTTTAAAGAGTTCCATTTCAAAGAATTGCAAAACATACAAGCACAGCTAGCGTGTCCTTTCAAGGTATTGCAAAACATCCAGAACAGCTATTAGAGCTGAATAGTATTTAATTTTCTGAGTCCAAAAATATTCAGGCTTTTGTAAAATGTTAAGGCGTTATCAAATGTGATGCAAAAAGCAAGTGTTTCTCTGTAGGTGGCACTTGTTATTCAGCCCAAGTCATTAACCTATAGGTTGTGTTTATCAGCAATTCTATAACTTGGATGTTTGATTTTAAACTAAAAATTTTTAATCATACCATACGATCCCGCATGAAAGCTTGCTTTATGAGATTTTAAATGTTTATATTGTTTATTAAAGGTATTCTCTAGTCTTTCTCTGGGTCACTTTAGAAGTATTTGTTTTTTACTTCAGTGGGAGTTTTGGATGTGAAAAGACTGCATGATTGAGTCCTAATTCTACAACTACTAGGGAAAAAATTAACAGAAAGCAGATTCTCTTTGTCACCAATCCAGCATCTACTTTTTTGTGTAATTTGCAAAATAATTTGGCACATTTACTTGCTAGAGCTGGTGTGCAAATTAGAGATAACAATAAACTATAGAAATAACAATCTAATTGTCAGAAAATATTTGTAAAATCTAATTTACCATTGATATCCTTTCTCATATATATTGAGAACATGGATTTGTGGAGCCAGTCTGCTTCCATTGTAACCAATGGGATCACTATGTGTCTCATGTTATGTTTCAGAGCATTATATTTCTGACTCCTTTTCAAATCAAAGTCAAAACAATTATGTATGGGTAAACATAAAAATAACTCACCATCTGCCTCACAGTATTTGCCAGATGCTTTGTACCATAACATATGGATTCCACTTTTTGCTTTTCACTAATAAATGTTTCTCGAACATATTCCAGGTATGTCTGAAATGTAAAAAGTCCACTGGAGATTCCGCTCAAGCATTTTTCCTAAAATGAGAGAAGGGTAAGGAAATTACTTATTGCAGAAAAAATTATTTGATGACAATATTGTTTCTATGTATCCGTTAACTAGCTAATGTTTATACAGTGCTTCAGTGAGCTTCTGATAAGGCCTTATGTGTTGGGTTATTAATTTATTATAAAAGTTATTGATTCCTTGCCTCATTGAATCCAGAGAGTAGACATCCATCTTCCTCTGTGATCTTGGGGAGGTTCAGATTGTTTTGGGCAAGCATCTCCATACTGTTGTCACACACAGTAAATTTCTCACACATCTGGGAATAGACACAAAGATTTTATTATACCTTTATCACATTACCATTTTCCAGGCAAAAGGCACTGTATAACTATGTCAGTAGAAAGGCCTTGTGCATTACTGAAATCTCCACAAAAATGTTTTTTTTTAATCAGCTTTTTAAATTATTTTGCAGAATAGTCGAATATGTTGTCCTAACTAATTAGAAATCACTGTTACATTTTCTCAAGTATCAGAGGGGTAGCCGTGTTAGTCTGTATCCACAAAAACAACGAGGAGTCCGGTGGCACCTTAAAAACTAAGATTTATTTGGGCATAATTTGGGCATTAATTGTTACATTTTCTATGCTTTTCCCATCAGAAACAATTTGCTGTAGTCTGTCTGATACACAGCATGGATACACTAATGCAGATTGGTATGCTTTCTAAGATGCATGTCTCAAATATTTGCTCCTTTAGAAGTCAGGAGACTGCATGTCCTGTAAAGAAAAATGCCCTGGGAGGCTGTGGATTGTGCCTGCCTACACTCACTCCACTTTTGACAAATATCTTCACGGCCCCATGAGCTTTTCAGGGCTAAGAGACATTCACTTCCATGCTATCTTATAAGCCCCCCCAGCCCAATCAGACAGAGAGGTGGCTAATTCCATGGCCAAGCTCAAGACAAATGACAACATGAGCCCACATAAAACAGCTGTAGGGAAGGCATAAAACAACAGATAGTCCCGTTTGCTGTTAAAACCTGTCAAGTGCAGCAAAGAACCGACCAACTCAGGTTGGGATCCCAGTCCTAGCTGCTTCCGTGTATTACCCACCTCATCCTTCAGCTTGACCGCTTGGCTGTGCAGCAGCCACGCCAGGGACTCGCAATCGGGCAGCGAGGGGCTTCTGGCAAGTAAGTCCGAGGGATCAACAAGTTCCTCTTCACCGGAGGAATCCGGGAGAGGGACAGCTCTGGTCCCGAGGAGCAGTGTCGCTGCCAAGAGAAAGCCTGAGAAGAGGAAATAGACAAGGGAGCGGAGTGAAATCCTGCCGGTTAAATTGCACACACTGTCAAAAAGACAGCGGGAGAGCCTAGCTCACTCCGCTGCTGAGCGACTGTGTTACTTACATCCCCGAAGATAATTCATTTCCTTCTCTTACCCCCCCCTTTGCTCTTTCAAAATAGTTGCTGGCCAGAGGGCTGGAGGGCTGAATGAGATGAAGGAATCCCTGATTTTGGGCATATTTATATTCATTGCCACTGGTCACTGGGAAAATCCCGTATTAGAAACTTTTTTTTTGTCTTTTGTTGTAATGAAAACTGCTATTTGGTTTCTAATGAAAGGGAGGTATAGGATACTATTGTGAAACACTTCAGGAAACTGAGCTCACTATATTAGCGAATTAAGGATGGAAAAATAGTAATAGGACAGAAACCCCCCTGCAGTATGTTCTGGACTACAGTAAATGACTCAAGCAGAAGGCTTCCACCTCTTGCCCCGGATACTCCTTTCACACCATCTTACTTGGCATTAAACCAAGGCTGCAGCTATCCCAAGAAACAAATGCATTCTTGAGAGAAAACAGACATTTAATAATTATTATGCCAGGTGCAGCAGAAGCAGTCATCAGGAGAGCCCTTATAAGGGAAAGGAAACATAATTTAATCCCCTAAATAATTGGTAGACCATTCAGAACAAATTACAACTCATAAAAATATACAAATAAAAAAAAGACTGTAATTCTCAAAAGGGTGAATTGGATGGTAGATGATGGACAGCAGTGAGTATCAGTTACTGTTAATTATTTTAACAGAATCCAGTAGTGTGGTAGGCACATCAAAGTACATTTTGGCCTGGTATAAATGAGAAAATTGTGCTAGTTTAACTAAATGACTTGATAAATTGATTTAAATTGGTTCAGTCTAGTGTGTGGATACTCTTATTTGGGTTAAAGAGTGCCTTATAATAAACTGATTTTAGCTAAATCAGTTTCTAAATAGATTTGTTGAAATGTATACAGTTTTTTCATGTGGACAAGACCATAAAAACACGTTTCCTTCACTAAAGACTTGCATTCTAATTCTAGTCATGATATGACAAGATGGAGAATGGGGGAGAAGAGTATGTGGTAAGGAAGGAGCAAGGTGACAGCAGTAAGATTACGTGGTTAATGTGTTTGGATGTCTGCACAGCTTGTGCAGATTATCAATTTATTATTAGTAAAATATAGGGCTGTCAATTAATGGCAGTTAATTCACACAATTAACTCAAAAAGATTTAAGAAATTAATCTTAATTAATCACACTTTTAATTGCACTGTTAAATAATAGAATACCAATTTAAATTTATTAAATATCTTTGGATGTTTTTCTATTTTTTCAAATATATTGATTTCTATTACAACATAGAATACAAAGTGTACAGTGCTCACTTTGTATTATTATTTTTGATAAACAAAAGAAATACTATTTTTCAATTCACCTCATTCAAGTACTTTAGTGCAATCTTTTTATTATGAAAGTGTAATTTACAAATATAGATTTTTTTTACATAACTGCACTCAAAAACAAAACAATGTAAATCTTTAGAGCCTACAAATCCACTGAGTCCTACTTCTTGTTCAGCCAATCACTCAGAAAAACCAGTTTGTTTACATTTACGGGAGATAATGCTGTCTGCTTATTATTTACAATGTCACCTGAAAGTGAGAACAGGCATTTGCATGGCACTTTTGTAGCCGGTATTGCAACGTATTTATGTGCCAGATATGCTAAACATTCGTATGCCCCTTCATGCTTTGGCCACCATTCCAGAGGACATGCTTCCATGTTGATGATGCTCGTTAAAAAGCAATGTGTTAATTAAATTTGTGACTGAACTCCTTGGGGGAGAGTTGTATGTCTCCTGCTGTTTTACCTGCATTCTTCCATATATTTCATCTTATAGCAGTCTTGGATAATGACCCTGCACATGTTTTTCATTTTAAGAACACTTTCACTGCATATTTGACAAAACACAAAGAAGGTACCACTGTGAGATTTCCAGGGGTGAAAGTAACTGAGGACACTTAGCAGTACGGGGGTGGGGTGGGGAAGGTGTTGGCTCTGGCCCCTGGAAGGGGTGGGGCCTCGGGTGGAAGGGGCGGGGCTGGGGGAGTCAGCATCCCCCAGCCAGCCCTTGGCCAACGCTGCCCGGGGCTCCTGTGTTGATTTAAAGGGCCCAGAGCTCTGGACGCCACTGCTGCAGTAGCGGCAGTGGCGTCCGGAGCTCCGGGCCCTTTTAAATCGCCGGCCCTAGGGCAGCTGCTCCCTTTGCCCCCCCTGCCTGTCAGCAGCCGGGGAGTGCAAAAGGGACAGGGACGTTAAAACGCTGCAGGGTCCTTTGCTGCGGCAGCGCTTTAACATTGCTGCCCCTTCCCCCCATCCCCGTCGTCGGCCCTGCCGGTACGGACCCTACAGGGGAGGCAAAAGGGGCAGGGACATAAAGTGCTGCCACGGCAGTGCTTTAATGTGGGCTGGGTATGGGCCGGTGCGGGTTCTTACCGGTACGGAGTACCGGCCTGTACCGGCTCACTTTCACCCCTGGAGATTTCTAAAGATAGCTATAGCACTCGACCCAAGGTTTAAGAATCTGAAGTGCCTTCCAAAATCTGAGAGGGAGGAGGTGTGGAACATGCTTTCAGAAGAGTTAAAAGAGCATCACTCCGATGCGGAAACTTCAGAACCCAAACCACCAAAAAAGAAAATCAGCCTTCTGCTGGTGGCATCTGACTTAGATGATGAAAGTGACCATGCATCAGTCTGCACTGCTTTGGATCATTATCGAGCAGATCCTGTCATCAGTATGGACACATGTCGTCTGGAATGGTAGTTGAAGATGAAGGGACATATGAATCTTTAGCACATCTGGCACATAAATATCTTGCAATGTTGGCTTCAACAGTGCCATGCAAACATCTGTTCTCACTTTCAGGTGACATTGTAAAGAAGAGGGCAGCATAATCTCCTGTAAACGTAAACAAACTTGTTTGTCTTAGCGATTGGCTGAACAAGAAGTACATCTGAATGGACTTGTAGGCTCTAAAGTTTTATATTGTTTTATTTTTGAGTGCAGTTATTTTTGTGTACATAATCCTACATTTGTAAGTTCAACTTTCATTATAAAGATATTGCACTACAGTACTTGTATGAGGTGAATTTCTTTTGTTTCTTACAGTGCAAATATTTGTAATAAAAAATAATAATATAAAGTGAGCACTGTACACTTTGTATTCTGTTTGTAATTGAAATCAATATATTTGAAAATGTAGAAAATATCTAAAAATATTTAAATGAATGGTATTCTATTCTTGTTTAACAGTGCAATTCATTGTGAGATTAATCATGATTAATTTTTTTAATTGTTTGACAGCCCTAATAAAATATTAATTTACTTTCTATATGTATCATGGGAGAAGTGAGTGTTAAGGAGGAACAATGCTTCCCTTTTCTTCCGAACACATTCAGCTGTTCTTACAAAAAATGCTACAATATTTAATGCGTCATACTGGCAATTTATAGGAAAGTGCATTGTAGTAATTGTACGTAATTTGCTGCAGTGTGGAAATGTGGTCCCCCTTGTCACAAAGTGCAGAGACCACCAAACCCATTTTACTTGACCATAAATCTGATCGGAGCCATTTGAACTCTGTAGATGAGAAGCCAGAGCAAAGACCTTCTGTAGCACAAAGCCCTCTGATACCCCCTTTATGCATATCAGAGCATTAATTTCATATGATCAATCCATATATTTAAATGTAACACTGACGTTAGATAATCTAATCTAAATGTATCAAAACATTAGAACCAGATCAAACCAATGGCCATCTAGTATTCTCCCTCTGAGACTGGCCAATTCAGAGGAAGGCATAAAACACACACAGCCACAGGTGTGGACAGTTATGCCTAAGAGGAAAGTTTCTTACTAATCACAGACAGTAAGTGGTTGACATGAAGCCTGGAAGTTGAGATCCCTTATATATACTTTTTGTCCTACCTAGTGAAATTGCAGGTATTCTTATTATTCATATAAAAATCTAATTTTTTTTAGAATTATTTTTCTTCATTACTATCTTACGGCAAGGAGTTTAGAAGATTAATTTTGTATAACATGATCATTGTTTGCAGTGTTGTTGTAACCATGTCGGTCCCAGGCTATTGAAGAGAGACAAGATGGGTGAGGTAGTATCTGTTATTGGACCAACTTCTCTTGGTGAGAGAGACAAGTTTTAGGTCTGGGAAACTTAGGGCTTGTCTTCACGTATCATGCTACAGAAGTGTAGCTGCGCCACTGCAGTGCTTTAGTGAAGACGCTACTATACTGATGGGAGAACTTCTCATGTCAGTATAGTTAGTACACCTCCCCATGAGGCGGAAGAGCTTCTCCCATCGACGTAGCGCTGTTTACATGGGGGATTAAGTTGATATAACTACATCGCTCAGGGGTGTGGATTTTTCATACTCCTGAGCGACATAGTTGATGTAGGTCTGTAGTGTAGACATGGCCTCAGAGTGTCACGACTAAATACAGGGTGGAAAATATTGTTTAGTGTAAATAGTTAACACATATTTCAAGGGACCAGTCCAGGTGAAATGGAGGCCATCTGTTATCCGTACAGTAGAACATAACACCTATAGCACCTACATGTTCATATGATTAAAAACTCCGTAAGGGTGGGATTTTCAAAAGTACTCATTGTTGGTCTTACTCATCTCCGGTGCAATCAATGGGAGTTCTACCATTAATTTAAATGGCTGCAAAGGTAGGCCAATACTAAGAGCTTTTAAAAACCATACCCTAATCCCCCCTGCCCTTTTTAACTATTGATGTTCACAAAGGTAACTCTGAATACAAATGTTGTTTTCATAAGGATGAGGGGAAGTGTGGGTTACTCTCAAGTTTGCTACCCTCAGCGGAAATGGTAATACCACTGGAAAATTCTAAAGAATGCTGAGGTGTAGGAATCAGAGAATGTCAGCTGCCAGATGCATGCTTAGGCCTGGTCTACACTGGGGCGGGTGTGTGTGTGGGGGGAATCGATCTAAGATATGC